TACAGAGGTTCTATAGTATAGGTTCATTACAGTGTTTTTTTATGTCTTTATTATACCAGATTAAAATATAAGTTGCTTCATATGTTGAAAACCAAAATATGCAATTAGGCCCGTAGTTTCTTGCACTTTTAATGCTTACGCGTTTTCAGTATATATAAACAAACGATTGAATTGTTCCATTTCAATTACATCTCTCCCTACTTACACACATTTTAATTTTCCGAGCAGGTTGCTGTAGCATAGCGATCTACAGTCGTAATCGTGAGACGCCGGAAGTCCCATCCTAAGTTTTTTCTCGTCATTTTACTTAGTTACTACCGACAAGTGCTGGGATAATACGTTGATTTTGTCATGATAGCTTTCTTCCATAGCCATTCAAACTGATCATTCTACCACTGATGTTGTACAGCCTAAATACTGACAAACAAAACTAACAAACTCCGTGGTTTTAGTCCGCAAGTGACCATACCGACCGAGCGACTGCCGCTTGTCGGCGAAGTTAGTGCCAACTTTTGCGGATAGAGGGTGTCACGTGGGCAGCGCAACGGATCATAACGGCCTTTAATTTCTGTTTTCTAGACCGGTGCCGCTATTTCTTTGAAATACCTCAATTATCCTCACGAGTCTGAGTGCACCCCGTTCCAGACCCACTACTCAGAAAATCTGGTAGCGCCGGGAATCGAAACCGAACCTCTGGATCTGTAGCCAGGAACTCAGACCACTAGACCACAGAGTCGGTCTTTCTCACATTCATCAAGAAATCTAAAATCTCAGAGGCGTGTTCCTCGATAGGAAGTACTGCACTCCTCTTGCGACAGAAATCATACAGGCTTTATTTTGATTCTGATCTGCTAAGAACTCAACATCCCCTAATTTATTTGTCGGGGAGAATTTTACACAATACTATTTCAAACTTTATCCTGTGTTCGATCTCTTAAAATGTGAATAAGGTGTCACTGGAAGTCATAAAGTTATCTACCTTGTTATTCACCATTACAACAAACACTGCGCCTCCTGAGAGGCCGTTCTCTGCTTTGAAGAGGGTCCACACTTACCTAAGCAGCACGCAGACCCAGGAGTTTTCATTAATGGCACTTGAGAAGAAAATTCTTCAAGACCTAGAAAAAAGTTCGAACTTCTGTGACTGTCAGATAGTTTCGCGGAAGGAAATTGTTTGGCATGTAAAAATTGAGCGCACGATGCAATGAAGGAGGTAAGTTCAGTAGTTGCTAATAATTCTTTTTTGGTTTATATGGTCTTCCTCTTTTAGATCTTAATTCTGCCATCGGATTTGCACATCGTCTTGTGTGATGTTTGTACCAAACTGCCAACATCTTCACCTAGCTTTGTCTTGGAATTTGACTACTCCAAACACGTTACAATACATTAGTGTCCCTTTCCAGAAGACAGTACTCCTCAAGGAATTGTTTATCCGCGGTTTATTTAACGACGTTTCAGTTAGATATATCACGGAATGATATGATCAGTGTATAAGGAAAAGAAAAAGAATATGGAAGAAAAATGTTGTGGCGTGGGGAAAATTATGACACTGTCTGTCTTCAAATGTGTAATGACACGTGTGCTGTCAGGATTTTTCCAACATGCTGGGGGCAGGGAGAAAATTTACTTACAAGCTTATGTTTAACTGTCGGGACACATGGATAGATATTAATGCACGAATAATTCGAGAAATTACGAATATTTCACAGAAAATAAAAGTTAAAGCAGTTCCAAAGAAATGAAAATTACACGATGAAATCATTTAATTCACTCCCTTTCCTCAAAAGTGTCGTTCAAAGAACATTTAGAAGCAGTCTATTAAAGTCGAGAACACTGGAATCAAAAATTTCAGTTTTGCTTAGTAGTCTTAATATAATATATTTCGAAAGACCAAATACTGCATGGTACACATGTTTTTCGCCAGTTATAATATTGGACCACCTATTTGAAACACGAAGTATTAAACGTAAATATGCCTCAACCTGAATAACAGTCTACGAACCGAAGAATTCCGCTCTCCTTCTCTGTAATGAGAAATACGTCAATTTCTATTAATTCGAAAATAGTGTAACATTTGTTTTGCCAGTAAACGCAATTATTCTGCTTTTAGCAAACGGCCCCAAACGTTTCGAACAGTATGAATGAAAGTTCATCTCATACCAATTCGTGCTCTAAGACACAATTTCCTGAATTTGCCGTTCTAACACAGCGGTCGATCAATTTGAGAAAAACGCCAGAACCACCGTTAATCTGAAAACAACTCGAGCAGCGTTCGATAATTCGTCGTTACTTCATATTATAGGTTCTCACATTGGTGACCATGAGGGGTGCGATCTTCTGGGTTGTAACGAAGTGTAGTTCGTAAAGTCTACCGACGTTGCGGACTAACTTATCACCTCCAATTTTAGGGTTAAGTAAAGTCCAGAAAACAGATCACGAAGATGGTGGCGATATGATCCTCCTAACCGTCTGTAGATTTCTACCGAATTATTCGGCGTTACAACCCAGAAGAACGTAGCCCCGAATCCAGAATCCGAAGTTCGTAAATTATATGTCACTACTGAAATTCAAAATATGACGGCCGCATAGATTTCGCGCGAGGACACCAATAACTGTGAAAAACATCAAGAAAACGAATTTCGGAAACAGTAGACAAAGGTAAGGTAAAGCTGCCCCTGTAGCAGACCGTGTAGCTCCCAAATTTTCTAGACAATCGACTCAAAGATGGGGGTGAGGTTGTCAGCCTTAGCCGCCGGCCGCTCTTTACCCCCCCCCCCCGCACCCACGCAGCGGAGAGGGGGGCGCGCGAGAGACAAGAAGACGAGCGGGGCGCNTTTCCCCCCCCCCCCCGTAGATATGTGGTAGAGGCAGAGTCGAAAAGAGGACCATAGTGCGGCTGGAAGGTTTAAGTAAATTGAAAAACCCACTGACCTCCCTGGGATTCAAACTCGCGACCTCCCGACTTGTAGCATAATGCCTCAACCAACTATGCTACCTCATACCCCTATAGACAAAGGTATTAGTTCAATTTTAAGGACCAAAGTCTGGTCCAAAAATGAGAACGGATGTCGAATTCTTAACTCCAGGCCCATGTTAACAAAGTTGCTTTGCCAGTGCCTGAAGATGTCGTAATTATTCACAATAGCAATACATACAGCAATGTGTTCCTGGACCTGCATTGCAATAATGTGTTTAAAAATGTATGCTGACCATTCCCTTGGGCTTTTCTACGCACCTGAAGTGTCTACTTAGTTCTGATAAGCCATTTCCATGCCTGACCTATACAATTGTGTTGGTAATAGTGACCACGCTATGGGCTGAACAACTGAAGCACCGGGGTTTGTTTCCACAATAGGACAAGAGAAACATTTTGTAAAATATGGTATGTGAGTCTGTCTGAATGATATCATCGTTCACAAATTACTACATTATAAAAACCAACACAAAAAGAAAAATGAATTAAATAATCTGATCAATTCAAACTCTTCTGTGCACAAGGAACAGAAACGAATGCTCTCATTGGACATGGCCTTAATTATTTTAAGCAAATATTTCAAAAGAACCCTATTACAATTTAATGGGAACTTAAATGAGTTGTTTTATATATATATATATTTTTTTTGTCATAATTAACCGGTCTTACTAGTTCATATGTAGGTAGTATACTTCTTGCAACATATTGGTGTATGTTTACAGATCCGACATGGAGCAATTTTTGTTCCAGACATATGTGTACTTATTCCATACGAAGATATATGCTCTGGATTTCTATTATGAAAGGAACTAAATGCATAGTGCAGCCGATGTAGCTCAGTCGGTATAGCGACTGGCTTCAGGCTGGAAGACTGAGGGGTCGCAGTTCAAGTCCCAGTAGGATCAAGAATTTTCTCTTCTCCATGTTGTCCAGACCAGGGCTGGGGTCCACCCAACCTCCTATCCAATGAGCATGGGGGCTCTTTCCCCGAGGGTAAAACAGCAGTGGTGTGATGCTGACCATTCACCTCCAACTAGTGCCAAGGTCTAGAAAACATTGATCTATACATTCACTCCCCCATACGCTTTCACAAGGTAATGCTTAATTAGTTAAGCACAGGGACAACTTTATCTTACCTTTACAAAATACATCAGTTTGAAAGGAAATAATGAGGATGACTGTTTCAATCTGTGGTATTCATGGAAGCATATTTTATTCTCTATGTGACACCAAAATTTTACACAATGAACAAAAAGGTTCTATGAACAAGATAGTAGCATAAAAATTGCACATGGTAATTGCATGGAAAATAATATTATAACAAATTTTTCCTATGGATTTAATCACTGTTTCAGTCTTGTACATACACAAACCATTTGTGGAACAGTGTTAAATTTTCATGCTTACCAGTGACTGACAAAACTACCCAGGATTCCCTCTTATTTAAGAACAAACGTTGTTATTAAACAATTGCCAAAGAGATCAGTTTCCTCAGCTCTCTCTCTCACACATGAACACACACAAATAAATGTTTAATGTTTTTTATATTAAGTCTGACTAATATAAGGGCTTATCCCTAAACTTGAGGAAAACTGAAGTGTTAAAATTTGAAACAATCAATCGTGACAATATGCCTGTACATTTAAAGTTTAACGATGAATTATTACAAGAGAAAACTCATATTAAATTTTTGGGCATTGAAATTGATAAATTGTTGAATTGGAAGAGACAGATTGAATCGTTGTTGCCCAGATTGGGAAAGGCATGTTATGCAACACGAATTATGAAAACATATAGTAATGTTACAACACTTAAAATGATATATCATGCATACTTTCATTCACTCATGAGATATGGAATAGTTTTTTGGGATAATTCGTCAGAGGCCAAGATCTTTCTCTTACAAAAGAATACTATTAGAATAATAATGGGGATGAAACACAGAGAGTCATGTAGGCCAGCATTTATAAAGTTAAATATATTAACACTGGTCTCTCAATATATTTTATCTTTGATGACTTTTATGATAAATAACTTGGAATATTTTACTTTTAATTATTCAATTTATGAGAAACCAACAAGACATAAAAGAAATTTACATGTCCTACAATCACATCTTGCAATGAGGCAGAAAGGAGTTCACTGCATGAGTATAAAAATATTTAACAGTCTGCCTGATTATTTAACTAATTTAGTACATGATAAAAACAGTTTATAAAAGAAATAAGAGATGTCCTAATACATAATCCGTCATATACCGTTGATGAATTTTTGCTCTTCTGTTGGGATCAACAGCTAAGGAATAGAAGGGGAGGGCATGCTGACTGATGGATGTCCCACAGTAGGCATCAATATAGACATTAAGTGTAAGTGTAAGTTAAGGAGACAAACTTGCTTTGGAGCTTCATTCCTGGCTGCTTCATCTGTAAAAAAGAAAGTGTGTGCAAAACTATGGGTAGAATATTTCGCATTCTGACAAATCAGGTGACTAAATTGTAGAATTTTGTAAAAATGATGCAGGAAGTTTGATCTTAGTCATGATAAATCCTAAAAATTGTCAGCTAAAATCTCTGCAGGTTACACAGACTGCTAGTATGCTGTGAGTAATGCTATGAACTCTTTCAGTCAGCCAGAATGTTAAAAGATTTTTAAATTTGGTAAAGGAAAGGACTTTTCTCATCTAATATTAATATTCTGAAGCCCAATGGTCATTATATATACCATTTGTTTCAAAATACAAAAACTTTCCATTCTTCCCACTGAGTGTATTTATGCCTTTCTACTGGAGCTCACAATAAGCAGTGATTACTTCCCGAAAGAGTATTAACTGATTTGCCTAGTAAGAGAAATGAAATAAGTTTCATAAGAGGTATGCAATAAATTTCTATGTGTTATGTAGAATAATTCCAGTTTTTAATAACATGAAGTCACTAATCATGTACCACATTAAGTTGTGGTCAGCTAGCAATCATCGTCTGATAGGCCTCTTCTCTCTGTGTATCAACATTTTATACATATTAGAACTCTCGTGTAATGATCATAAATTCAAGATTTTCCATCATATGATGTTTTGTTTAAAAGATCCCAACTCAGTAAAAATCTGTGTTAAATTACCTCAATTTAAGATCTTCTTCAGTTTGTTGTTCAAGATTATTGTCATACATTCCAATAATCAGAATTCTCCAGATATAACAACTGCATTCAAGGATAATTAAAAGTGTATGAAGTAGTCTCATTATATCAGAAGATATTGCTGAAATCTGAACAGTGCCATAATGAATATATACCCAGAAGCTGCTAATATTCATAAATTATTGCAATATATACAATAAAATTGTAATTATAAATACCATTAGCATAAAAAAATACATATGATGATTGGAACATGCATCAAAGGAAGTAATTATTTCTTAATTCGGGGAATATCCCGGAATTTGCCTGAAGACAACGACCATCCTAAGGCTTCGTGGTTTTTATCAGCCCCACCATGCCTACTGTCCAATCCTTGATTTACTAAGAGTGAATTCTGTATAGCCTAAATTGCTGAATATTGCCTCCCATGTGTGAGCCAACATCACTATTTATCATTTCAATAGTCTGTAAACAGAAGGATTTAAATGAAACTTATAGTAAAGTCTGTATAGGTAAACATTCATCTGATACACTTTCTATCCTTGGTCTAAATCAAGGAGATGCTCTATCACCATTGCTTTTCAACTTTGCTTCAGAATATGCCATTGGGAAGGTCTACAAAAACCAGGTGAGGAGGATTGAATTGGGTAGTCATACCACAAAAATATAACAAACCACAAGACAAAGAAGGGAAATAATGAGCATAGTGGAGGCTCTCATAAGCTCAAGCTCACTATGCAAAGATGTAACCACTGTGGACCAGGCTGGGGCCGAAATGGAAGCCAAGCACGACAATTTACTTGCCGACTGGCAAAGATAGACGCCGGCCAAGAAAAAAGGAGGGCAGACATGATGGAGAGAAGGGAGGCTGAAATAAAAGCCTTACTTACTTACTTACTCATGAAGCTGAGCCCTTCTGAAGGAGCTACCAATTCTGCAGCCACTCAAGAATTTACAAGCATTTCATGGAACCCAAAGGTTCAGTACCGTGTTCACAAGAGCCCTCCACTGGTCACTATCCTCAGCCAGATCAATCCAATCCATACCATCACATTCTATCTCTCTAAGATCCATTTTAATATTGTTCACCCACTTACGCCTTGGTCTTCCCAGTGGTCTCTTTCCTTTTGGCTTTCCCACCAATATCCTATATGCATTCCTTGTCTCCCCCATTCATGCTACATGACCTGCCCACCTCATCCTCCTTGACTTGATCATTCTAATTATACTTGGAGAAGAGTATAAGTTATGAATATCCTCATTGTGCACTTTTTTCCAACCTCCTGTCACTTTATCTCTCTTCAGTCCAAATATTCTCCTCAACACCTTGTTCTCAAACACCCTCAGTGTATCTTCCTCCCTTAATGTCAGAGACCAAGTTTCACACCCATACAGAACCACAGGCATAATTATAGTTCTGTATATTCTAATTTTTATGTTTTTGGACAACAGACGAGAAGACAAAAGGTTCTGGACTGAATGGTAGCAAGCATTACCCGAGTTCAATCGCCTCTTAATTTCCTCCTGAATCAGGTTTCGATCTGTTATCGTTGTTCCCAAATATCTGAACTGTGCCACATTTTCAAAACATCTGTTTCCTATCTTTATGTCATGATTTTGCCCTGCATTTTGGTGACGAGACAGTAACATATACTTAGTTTTCTCAGTGTTTACTTCTAGACCAACCTCTTTACTTGCGTCAATTAAAGTTTGTGTGTTTTTCTTTATGGTATCTACATTATCACCCAGTAGATTCACATCATCGGCGTAGACCAACAGCTGATGTGTCCCGTTTAATTTCAGTCCCACCTGGTTTCCCTGGACCTTCCTAATGGCATATTCTAAAGCAAAGTTGAAAAGGAGTGGCAATAAAGCATCTCCTTGTTTCAGACCATTCTGGATAGGAAATTTATCAGCCAAATGTTTACCTGCACAATCTTTACTATATGTTTCATTTAAACACATTTCAATCAACCTAACCAGTTTCATGGGTATCCCAGACTCTATCAGAATATTGTACAATACTTCCCTCCTAACTGAATCATAGGCTTTCTTGAAGTCTATGAATAGCTGATGTACTTTCTCACCGTACTCCCATTTTTTCTCCAATATCTGACAAATGCAAAAGATCTGATCTGTAGTTAATCTGTTACGTTGAAACCCACACTGATGATCCCCAATAATTTCATCTATATATGGACTTAACCTTGAGAGAAGAATACTGGACAAAATTTTGTATGAGGTTTGCACAGGGTGTCCCAGGAGGAATGGACCAAACTTCGGGAGGGTGTTCCTTATGTTAAAGTATGCCGATATAACCCAAAACACCTATGTCCAAAGTTGAACGGTTACGGAGATAATGGCCAGAGAAGTGTCAAACTTTGACCGGTGTTACACACTTGTTGATTACAAAATACATATTAAAACTGGCAGGAATATGTGGATTCTGTAATGTTAATAATGTACGTAATATAAAACTAACTTGTGAGTGACGTGAAGCCATAAAATTGAAGTACAAACAACTCGCTCGCCATGTCATAATTGTCCTTAGGGCTTCCAAGCACTATACATGACACGCGACTGGCCAACGCTGACGTAATGTGGCTGACTGCGCTATAAGCCGACTACATAACTGTATTAAACATACATTTACGGAAAATCTCTTTTGGAATTTCATTTCCATTATCTCATGTGGATTATTATGGGACCACATATGCACATTTCGTAAATTATTTACACCGTCCAGGGTAAAAGACGCCTCGTCACTGAATAAAATGACGCTTAACAGTTCGGGATGAACTTTTATCCAGTGGCACAAATCCATACGCTGAGCATGGTCGCNGGACAGATGCGGACTTCTCTGAACCATATCAAGAATGTTCTCTCGTGTGTCTATCATTCGTACATCCTCCCTTTCAGAGTGCACAGAAACACTTGCAAGAGAACCAGTATCACGCAATGTCTGGTGAATTCGCGTAAATACACTTCGAGATGGAATCCTTCGATCGGGAAAACGCCTTTGGTATTCTTCAACAGCAGCATGTGCATTGCCACCGCAAAATCCACACACAAAATGCATATCACAATATTCCACGTGTGAAAACACAAGAGGCATTTCAGCAACTCATCACACAACTAATTTACCACCCATTCACGACCCCGCCGCAACGTAATCTGTAGGCTCTGTAGGTAGTGCATGAGCTTATGGCTAGTGTGACTCACAGCACTCAAGGACAAACAGATAAGAGTCTCAGCTGACAGGTATAGTGCATGGACCTGCCAGAAGACCACACTTTTCTCGGGCCATTATCTCCGTAACTGTTCAACTTTGGACATAGGTGTTTTGGGTTATATCGGCATACTTTAACATAAGGAACACCCTCCCGAAGTTTGGTCCATTCCTCCTGGGACACCTGTATAAGTGACATCCCACAATAATTACTACAGTCAGTTTTATCACCCTTCTTGTGAACTGGTACAATAATAGACTCCTTCCACTGATCATCAGGCAATTTTTCCTTATGCCAAATAGAAGTAATTAGCTTGTGGATCTTAGAACATAATATTTTGCCTCCTGCTTGAATAAGTTCTGGCAAAATTTGATCACTACCTGGAGATTTATATCGTTTCAATTTTGCAATAGCACTTTCAACCTCAAAAGGGCTAGGATTAGGTACTAACAGCTCAGCTGTATGGATTTCTGTCTGCCTAAAATCACTCACCCGATGTACATTCAATAACTGAGAGTAGTAGTTCTTCCACATATTCAAAATGTTGTGGGAATCTGCAAGCAGATCACCATTCTCATCCTTCATTAAGTTACTGCTAGGTTGGTAACCCCTCATAAAGTCATTTATTCCTCTGTACAGGTGTCTAATGTACTTGTTCTTACTGTTCACTGCAAGCTCATCAATTTTGTCTTCTAGATTTCCCTCTTTTTGTTCCTGAAATGCCTACTGGTTCCACATTTTATATTGTTCAGACTATCGCCATTGAACTCGCTTAGATCCTGTAAACACTGCAAATTGGCCTGCTTTCTTTGATCTAATAATTTTGAGCATTCTTCATCGAACTATGGCTTATACTTCTTTGGTTCATAATAACCGAATGGTTTGATTAAAAGTCTACGAGGAGAAATGGTAGGCCGAGCGGGAAGCCGACCGAAAAAAAGAAGTCGACTTTGAGAAGAGGATGGGCGAGCGGAAATGTGACCAAGAAAGAAGGAAGGTTGGACGGAAAGGACAGATGATCGGGAAGAGATGTTGGAAGGGCCCAGCATGCAACAATGGCATATGGGACTGAGGCCTGAAACAGTAGCTATGAGGCGGCAGATGGCCACTATAGTTGAGGAAGCCAGTGGGGCAGACATGGGGAAATTCTCGATCCCTGAAGCACCTGGTCGCTGCAGCAATGAGGATGACACCCACCATGCAAAAGTGACACGGTGCAAGGAACATGGACTTCAGAAACAAATCAAAGATGATATTGCACCCAGAACTCCGAAGGGGTGAACGTCCTGAAAGAAATGCTGGAAGGGGACAGAATGCAAAGTTGGAATGAAGAATCCAGACATAAGACGACAGCTGCGTCTTAAGATTGAGAGGACATCACAGGGGATTGACAGAAAGGCTTCGGACTGATGTTCTTGAAGAGAGCAACCAGAATGTTCAGGTGGTTTTGGAAGGTGAGAAACTGGGCAGTGTGGAATTGTCAGCCCCTGCCAAAGGGGAAGAAAAAAGCGTAATAGCACCGTTATCATAAAATAAGCCGGAAAGTTGAGAGCAACGGTCACTCGGAAAAGTTTTCCCCACCGTGGGAAAGAGAAAATCGAGGAACAACTTTGGATGATGGAGATACATCTGGATCTAATGGCGCCTTAGCAGTGAGCAGCTCGGGACAAGGGCACTTCAGGGGGGAGCTGTGGTGGAGGTTGGAGAGTGGTCACCGCAGGAAAGACCGAACCACAAGAAGATGCCACGAGCAGGAAACCTCGGAAAAGAAGAACAGGCGGTATGCCTGTAGGCTGTTTGGGACGAATAACTTTAAGTTGGGAGCAATGTTACATGTATACCCATTGATAGGCAACAAGTTGCTAAACTATTTAGAGCGAAGACAACATTCTTGGTAAACAGTTTTTCATTTCTATGTTACGCAACAACAAAGGAGGCCGTGTTTTCTGTAGATCTGGTTGACGAGCCAATAGACTGGCAGGATAGCAATCATGTGATATGTTTACTGTAGGTCCGTGTCTGTGCCGAAGGTTTAAACAGGAGAGTGAAGCTCGCTTGCAGTCAGTCATAGCTGAGAGCCCGAGTCAAGGACACGAAGCCATTATGGAAAGGAGTTGTGAGGATTCAGCTGTGAAATGTTAATAGACATTGAAGAATTTATGTGTGTTGTAGTGCAGTGATATCAGGAGTGTGATAGTGCTAGTTCCTGTCCTTAATTGCGCTACCAGGAGAGGACTGGTGTGTGTGTGTGTAACAGGGAATTATAAAGTGTAAATCAGCGAAAGCACTCTACAAGTTGTAATTAAGATAACATGGAACCGAAGTGCTAATAAATCCAATAATCCGAATTAGAACCCATTATTTTTGTCACGTGTACCACCCTACACATGACAATATAATATATAGGTTAAGAACTATCTTTCAACAAGGCCATGACAGCTACCTTCAAAATAATTATCAACTCAAAATCCAGGGGGCACGCGGTAGTGTAGTTGGTTGACGCACTATGACACAAGCCGGAAGGTCGCAGGATCGATTCCCAATGAGGTCACTGGATTTTTTCAATTTACCTAATACTTCCAACCACACTATGGCCCTGGGGTTGACTCAGCCTCTAACAGAAATGAGTACCAGGAATATTCTTGGGGGTAAATGGCAGCCGGCACGTAAGGCTGCCAACCCTATCGCCATCTGTGAGCCGACTGTCTAGAAAATGTGGGAACCTCAACATTTCAGAAATCTATGGGCCTCCACGGCCTGTTACAGGGATACCTTTACTTTTACTTTTTTTTTTACTCATAATCCGTGATTACTTCCTCATCTCGATCAATTGCATACACCTTCTACAGTTGTACAGTTGATACAGCGTCATTTGCTTCAGAATCAGTTTTACCAAGAGCTTGTTTCTATCAACTGTATTGGCTTTGAGGGTTAAAGTAAAACCTATTTATAAGTTACAGGAAATTCCTATTACGAGTTGATTAAATTTACTTTACTGAAATTTACTTACAGCAGAATAAAGAACTGCCAACATCTAACACAATTAAGCTTTTATACACAGCCATAATGTGAAGTCATCCAGGTTTCGATGTGAGCAGACGTCTAAATTTTACTAAACCAGAAATAAATATTGCTAAACCATTCTGAAATCCACAGCTACATTAAAGCAATCATAGGCCGTGCCATAGATCAAGCAGTTAGTCACTGGCTTCCCACCGAGGCTGCTGGGTTCGATCCCGGGTCTGGTCAAGTGGGATTTGTGGTGGACAAAGTGGCGCTGGGGCAGGTTTTCTAAGAGTACTTCGGTTTCCCCTCCCAATCTTCATTCCACCAAATGCTCCACAATCACCCTCACCTATCATCTGGGCCTGGTACAAGAGGCCACAAGTGGCCGCAGTACAGGGGACTTTGTCCCACCCCACTAGCTACAAAAAAAAGTAATCTTATATTGGATAGGTTGATGTTGATGACAGTAACAATTAAAATAGGCTAATAATAACTGCATGAACTATAGGACTGTATATAGATTTAGTGCATTTAAGTCAGACTACTTTGATAAAAAGTTTATAATCTGATGATTTGGAGTTGTACATACCCAACGTGGCTTATCTGTTTAACGCCATCTGTGAAGAGAAAGAAATGCCTGTTAATATTCTCAAGTTCTTACAACATTTAAACCATATGCCATCTCTGCATTATCATGAAAGAAATTGCATGATGATAGGAATGTACATCAAAGCAAGTAATCATTTCCCAATTGAAGGAATAGCCCAGTCTTTGCAGTGTGGATAACAGGAATATCCTTAACCTTGCCAGGAACTCAATTGCAATTTTTGTTCAATTGGGACCATTGCCTAGAGACAGTGATGCTTGGTAAGTGAAATTCAGCTGTCAAGGAACTTACCACAATGAACATTCCCAACCATATAGCCGCAATTTGTTCTCCAACAAGGCGTCGTCCATCAGCCTGCAACACACATCAGTACAAGATTCATATCAGATTTAATCCCAACTGCACCTCGTCTACTGATCAAGTTTCTGAAACTTTCCGCACATATGCCTATTTATTATTTTCCAAATACTGTTCAGGAGATTTGAATGAATCTTTCTCTCTATGAAAACATTTTGATATATGACTGAGAGAAGTTTACAATTCCATGTTAAGGAGCCACTACTATGGACTGCCCAGGAGGATGAATGGTCCTCATGGGCAGACTTTGCAGTATGGATAATAGAAAAATTCTTGACCTTGTCAGGAACTGAACTACAATTTTTCTTTAATTCGGCCAAGTGCTTAGAGACATTGATGATTGGTAAGTGAAATTCAGCTGTCAAGGAACTTACATGTGCGGTGATTATTTGCAATTGTGTTGTCACTGCAAGTCCGTAGGCCATGAGTTGAGAGTCCAGCTGCAACACATATCAGTACAAGATTCATATCAGATTTAATCCCAACTGCAACTTGCCTACTGGCTGAGTTTCAGAAACTTTCCGAATATAAGCCAATTTATTATTTTCCATTTCCTGTTCAGGAAATCTGAATGAATCTCTCTCTTAGAAAACATTTTAATATATCATTAAGAGAAGTTTATAGGATGTGGCTGGCTTCCCACCGCGGCTGCCCGGGTCTGATCAAGTGGGATTTATGATGTACAAAGTGGCGCTGGGGCAGGTTTTCTCCGAGTACTTCGCTTTCCCCTACCAATCTTCATTCCACCAATTGCTCCACAATCACACTCACCTATCATCTGGGGCTACTACAATAGGCCAGAAGTGGCTGCAGTACAAGGGACTTGGTCCCACCCCACTAGCAATAAATAAAAAGAGAAAATTATAATTCCATGTTAAGGAGCCACTACTATGGAATGACCAGAAGGATGGGTGGTGCTCAAGGCCAGACTTCACGGTTTGAATAATAGAAAAAATAAGGATAAGCTGTCAAGAAACTTACCATACAGCCAAACAAGTGTCATGTCAACGAATTCACCACAATCATTTTGTATAAATGACGGTGCAGCTGCAACACACATCAGCACAAGATTAACATCAGATTCAATCCCAACTGCAACTTGCCTACTGACAGTTTCTGAAACCTTCTGAATATATGCTGATCTATTATTTTCTAAATATTGTTCAGGAAATTTGAATGAATCTCTCTCAGAAAACATTTCAATACATCATTCAGATAAGATTATAATTCCATGTCAAGGAGCCACTACTACAGACTGGCCACGAGGATGGGTGGTCCTCATGGCCAACTTCGCAATGTAGATAATAGAAAAATCCTTGACCTTGCTAGAAACTGAAGTACAATTTTTCTTTAATTCGGCCCTTTGCCTAGAGGCAATGATGTTTGGTAAGCGAACTTCAGCTGTCAAGGAACTTATCACAAGGAACACTGCAATCCACACACACATTAGGATCACCTGGTCCACGGAATCGTGGTTGTTCTGTAACATATACCAGTACAAGATTCATATCAGATTTAATCCCAATTGCAACTCGCCTACTGACTGAGTTTCTGTAACTTTCCAAATATATGCCGATTTATTATTTTCCAAATTCTATTCAGGAAATTTGAATGAATCTCTCTCTCTCTCTCTCTAATTTCAATACATCATTCAGATGAGATTATAATTCCATGTCAAGGAGCAACTAGTACGGACTGACCAGGAGGACGAATGGTCCTCAAGGCCAGACTTCGCAGTGTGGATACTAGAAAAATCCTTGACCTTGCCAGGAACTGAATTGCAATTGTTCTTTAATTTGACCCAGTGCCTAGAGGCAGTGTTGCTTGGTAAGCTGAAATTTAGCTGTCAAGAAACTTATCAGTCCATCCACCATGTACCATGTCAGTTCCAGTAATAGTGGCACAATGTACCTGCAACTCATCAGTACAAGATTCATATCAGATTTAATCCCAACTGCAACTCACCTACTGACTGAGTTTCTGAAACCTTCCGAATACATGCCAATTTATCATTTTTGAAATCCTGTTCAGGAAATTTGAACGAATCTCTCTCTCTCTTGGAAAATATTTTAATACATCAATCAGATAAGTTTATGATTCCATATTAAGGAGCAACTTATACAAGAACTGCAGGCTATGCATAAATAAATACTTTTCTGAGACTTACCGCAATATTTTGGGCCATCTGCCATATCCCCATTATTTAGGGGGGGGGGGGGGGAACAAAAAAAAACACAATTTCTGTATTTCACACAGATGCACATTCACAATCCGAATGCCTGACTTGTAACCATGATGTTAATTTGTTCATGTCTCGGACACAGCACAGTGAGAGTATCCACTCATTAAGCAACATTGCAACTGATCATTACCCACCCGCGTAATTCTCAAATAATAATATTGCTACTAGTACCAATTCTATACTAAACGTACGTTTAGTCGTATCTTACTACGCGAGTCACACCTATCCTCTTCTGTCGGAGCACTCTTTCTACTTTCGTGTGTGGTGTGCGTGTATAACACACGCAGTCACAGGAGCAAGACACAACACAAAGCACAATACACACACGAAAGTAGAAAGAGTGCTCCGACAGAAGAGGATAGGTGTGACTCGCGTAGTAAGATAGGGAAAAATCCTGTACAATTTTAATATTTTTAATATTTAATATTTATCAATATATATGATAAATATATATTTTAGTTATTTTAATATGAAGACGGCAAGGCATGCAGTGAACTAGTTTAACGTAAATCAAATAAGCACCTGAAGATGGCACTTTTGTGCCGAAACATATGGTGCGAGAGAGAGGAGTGAGGTAGATGAGTGTATGCACTGATAGGAAATTAAGTGATAATCATGATATGATTACAGATACTTTAATTACTTTCAAACTATAGGTGACAAGATCATTAATACCAATAATGGAAACATCGGCCACATTATAAAGTCAGATACTGAAAAATATTCAGATTATTTGTCTCAAGCTTTCACGATTCCCTTCCCAAAAATTAAACTCAACCATACCTCTACTAAAGGAATTGAAAATATAATTATGTCTTTAAGACCAAAAATTGTAGTGGGTATGATGAAATTCAGGTTAGAAATAAAAATTGGTGCGGCTTTCATTAGCTCCCAATTAACATAATTGTAACATCTCCCCAACTGGTGTCTTCCCACTTGGTTGAAATATTCAGAAATAAAATCATTATTTAAAAACAGAAAAAACTAATATGACTAACTACAGACCTGAATCATTACTGACATCGTTTTCTAAATTTGTTGAAAAGGTTATATATGCAAGACTGCACCAACATATAATGAGTAACAACATATTAGCAAATGAACAGTATGGTTTTAGGAGTAATTCATCTATAAAAATGGCCTCACATAAATTAATTAATGATATATATTGAATGCGCTGAATAACAAAATATTAGTTGGTGGCATTTTCTGTGATTTGAAGAAAGCTTTTGACTCTGTTACTGTCAATCTATCATCTTACTATCTAAAGTAGAACTTTGTTGAATAGTTGGTGAGGCCACTGCATTGATAAAATCCTATCTCAAAGATAGGTACCAAAGGGTTGTAACCATTAATTGGCATATTCATTCCAGATGGGGCAGAGTAAATAATGGTGTTCCCCAGGGATCAATACTGGGACCTTTATTGTTTAAATTCTTGGGCATTGAAATTGATAATACCATGAATTGGAAGTCACAGATTGAATCGATGCTGTCTAGATTGGGCAAGGCATGCTTTGCAATAAGAAACATGAAATTGTATAGCAATATTGAAACACTAAGAATGATTTACCAAGCATATTTTCTTTCAATTATGAGATATGGGATTGTATTTTGGGGAAACTTGTTGGAGGCTAAGAAGATTTTTCTTTTACAAAAGAAGGCCATCAGGATAATGATGGGAATGAAACCCAGAGAATTATGTAAACAGTTTTTAAAAAATTAAAAATTCTGACATTGGCCTCTCAATATATTTTATCTTTAATGATACTAATGATAAACAGTTTGGGGTATTATATTTTTAATCATGCAATTCATGGTAAATCAACAAGACAAGTTAGAATCCTACGTGTTCCTCAATCACATCTAACAAAGAGGCAAAACGGGGTCTATTGCACGAGTGTAAAAGTTTTTAATAGTTTGCCTGATTTTTTAATTTAGTACATAATAAAAAAGTTTATTGGGAAACTAAAGGATGTATTGCTTCAAAACACTTCTTATACTGTTGAGGAATTCTTGCTTTCCCGTCAAGACCTACAGCTAAGGAAAAGAGGTTATCTGACAGTGTACACTTCACTAACACTATGTCCTTGGCTGTGCTTATATATATATATGTGCTGCAATTTGTATTGCCTTTTAACTGTTGTATGTGTTTTTGACAAGTATGGATTATATACCCCATTGATTTTATTTGTGAATGTATAAGTGTCCAATGTTTTATATTCAGTGCCGGTGGCACATTTATGAATATTTTAAAGAAACGCAAATGTATACATATGTATGTTTCTTTTATATATAAATGACTTGCTAAACATTATAATTAGTTGATCCAAACCTATTCTTTTTGCACATGACACCAGCATAATTATCACGAATTCTAGCCCTTTAGATTATGGAAACGCTATTATTCAAACATTTAAAACATAAATGACCGATTTAAAGCTAATTCATTGACACTAAATTTTGATAAAACATATTTTCATACAATTTTTGATTAAGAATAGCTTTCCAGTGCATTTGCATATTGACTGCAGTAACAGATTGTTAAATCTACTAATACCAAGTTTGTTGCCTTAATTATCAACAATATGTTGCTGTGGAAAGGACTTGTTGACTGTCTTATGTCTAAATTAGGTTCAGCCTGTTATGCAATCAGGGTGTTAAACCTTATATGTCACAGGAAACAATGAGAATGATTTGTAATATTTTCATTCTGTTATGACCTGTGGTATAATTTTTTGGGGCAGTTCTCCACATAGTATTCATATTATAAGCTAAAGAAAAGGGTAATTAGAATAATAATTCTAACTCTAGAAGCAGAGACTCTTGTACGGAATTGTTTAAGAAATTGAAAATTTTTCCCTACCCATCAAAGTACATATTTTCTCTCTTACTGTTTATAATTAAAAACAGAGAACAGTTTAAATCTAACGCTGAGATTCATAGTATTAATTCAAGACACATTAACACTTTCCATTATCCAGTATGTAATTTAACAGTGTTTAAAAAAGGTACATACTATTTTGGAATCAGAGTTTTAATAATCAGCCTTCTAGCATAAAAAATTAGCTCATAACATGAAACAATTTAGATTTGCTTAAGAAAGATTTCTACTCTTAAATTCATTTTACTCATTGGAGGAATATTTTAACTTCAATATTAATTAACGAGCTTGGTCTATTATACGCTGTATGCCTAGTAGGCAACCATTTTTCCATTACTGAACTGGAATATGAATAGATACCAGATTTTCAGTATTCATTACATTTCTGTAAGATATGTTATTATTTTTGCCATATAATTCTGCCCAGTACCTAACTGGTGAAGATGAATGTATCGGATTTTTATGACCATTAAATGCAGTCTTAATCTTGTTGACTGTTATTTTGGTTACTTCTACGTGGATCGAATGATAAGTAAGAATCAGTGTTCAATCTATCCCTGCTTTATTAAGACTAACTTTTGATACACGAGGGCGTTTTATATATATTCACACACATAACCATGGTAACACATAACAACAGAGATTCTGTTTTTACACATGTAACCGTAGTAACACATAACAGTAGAGAAATTAGAAACAGCGCATGTAGCGCAGTCTGTTATTGAAAATTGTTTACTACAATGGTGCCAACTCTAGCATTATATTTTAACATTAGAGAGTTGCCAACACAACACTCCCCCTTAAACAATTTTGGGAGTTTAAAAAATAGATATTCATTAATCAATATATAAAAAAAATATTATTATTTAGAACGTCATTTGGAAACATTATTCTTAGCACAATCCAAGTGATTTAATAAAATCAGTATGTTTCCGTACATTTAAACCTTTTGTGCAACCATCAGCAACTAACTGATTTCCAAGAATTTAATGTACTGACAATTCCTTTGATTCAACCCTCTCTCTCTTACAAAATGAAATTTATGTCAATATGTTTTGTTCGGTCATTGGATTTTCGCTATAGCTAAAGCACCACGATTATCACAAAAAATAGGAATAGTGATTTCCTTGTTACATATTTCAAACCATAATTTTCTCAAGAAAATGGTCTTTCGCGGTGTGTGATAACACCATATATTCTGCTTCTGTGGTTGAAAAAGCTACAGTCCTTTGTTTTTTACATCGCCAACTGATAGCTGCTCCTGATAGTTTGAACACAGATCCACTAAAGGATCTACAANTTCATTTTACTCATTGGAGGAATATTTTAACTTCAATATTAATTAACGAGCTTGGTCTATTATACGCTGTATGCCTAGTAGGCAACCATTTTTCCATTACTGAACTGGAATATGAATAGATACCAGATTTTCAGTATTCATTACATTTCTGTAAGATATGTTATTATTTTTGCCATATAATTCTGCCCAGTACCTAACTGGTGAAGATGAATGTATCGGATTTTTATGACCATTAAATGCAGTCTTAATCTTGTTGACTGTTATTTTGGTTACTTCTACGTGGATCGAATGATAAGTAAGAATCAGTGTTCAATCTATCCCTGCTTTATTAAGACTAACTTTTGATACACGAGGGCGTTTTATATATATTCACACACATAACCATGGTAACACATAACAACAGAGATTCTGTTTTTACACATGTAACCGTAGTAACACATAACAGTAGAGAAATTAGAAACAGCGCATGTAGCGCAGTCTGTTATTGAAAATTGTTTACTACAATGGTGCCAACTCTAGCATTATATTTTAACATTAGAGAGTTGCCAACACAACACTCCCCCTTAAACAATTTTGGGAGTTTAAAAAATAGATATTCATTAATCAATATATAAAAAAAATATTATTATTTAGAACGTCATTTGGAAACATTATTCTTAGCACAATCCAAGTGATTTAATAAAATCAGTATGTTTCCGTACATTTAAACCTTTTGTGCAACCATCAGCAACTAACTGATTTCCAAGAATTTAATGTACTGACAATTCCTTTGATTCAACCCTCTCTCTCTTACAAAATGAAATTTATGTCAATATGTTTTGTTCGGTCATTGGATTTTCGCTATAGCTAAAGCACCACGATTATCACAAAAAATAGGAATAGTGATTTCCTTGTTACATATTTCAAACCATAATTTTCTCAAGAAAATGGTCTTTCGCGGTGTGTGATAACACCATATATTCTGCTTCTGTGGTTGACAAAGCTACAGTCCTTTGTTTTTTGCATCTCCAACTGATAGCTGCTCCTGATAGTTTGAACACAGATCCACTAAAGGATCTACGATCTAAATTTCCACCCCAGTCTGCGTTGGAAAAACCTTCCAATTGATCATTATTCTCAGAATATACAATGCCTACACTCATTGTAGTGTTTAGGTATTTTAGACCTCTTTTTAACAAAACCCAGTGCTCTCTCGTGAAACAGGTGTTAAATTGGCTCAAATAAGTCATAGCAAAAGATATATCAGGGCGCATGCATATGGTTAAATAAATCATTGAACCTACAGCTTGTTGACATGGCACATCATCTAGATTCTAGAACGATTTGTTTGATTTAGGCAACAGTTTCAATTTGCTATTTGGTTCTATTGGATGACTAACTGGTTTAGCCTCATTAGGAATATCAACATTCTTCAAATATTGAGTTTGGGTTAACTTTATAGTTTTCTTTGCCCCATCTCTGTTCACTTCCATTCCTGTACATTTCTTAACCAGTCCCAAATCCTTGACTTTAAAACAGTGTTGCAATTTTCTTTTTAAATTCTGAACTTCAACATTGTCATTATGAAATATGAAGAAGTTGTCAACATACAATGCTATATTAATTACAGAATTACCCTTTTGTTTGGTATAAATACATGGTTCAGAACAAGTTTGCTTGTACCCTAGGCTTTTCAGAACCTCTGCTGCTTTCTTATTCCACAACCTAGTGGCTTGTTTTAGTCCGTAACCCGATTTTTTAACTTGCAAACTTTATTAGACTCCCCCTTAATATCATATCCTTCAGGAAACTCCACATATATAACTTCCTCAAAATATCTGTTTAAAAACGTGGTACAGACATCAAGGTGGTCAATGTTCCAATCATGCTTAGCAGCTAAAGCAAATAACAAACGCATTGATGAGTGTTTTACTACAGGAGCCAAAGTTTCAAAATAGTCTATTCCCTTTGTTTGGCTACAAACTTTCGCCACTAAACGTGCTCTGTGACATGCAATATTTCCTTCAGCATCTCCTTTAAATTTGAAGACCCATTTTGACTTCACTACTGGCTTATTTGACGGCCTGTCTACTATTTTCCATGCTTTGTTTGTTTGAAAAGTTTCTAGGTCCTGTTGAATAGCTTTTTTCCATTTAGATTTATCGGCAGTTGACAGTGCCTCTTCATATGTGACTGGTTCTGACTCCTCATCTTTATGCATGGCTAAGTGGGTAATAAATTCTGGAAATTCTTTCTGTTTCCTGTTCCGAAGTGGATATCGTCTTTCTTCCAAATTTCCTGGTAATTGTTCTAAGCCGTTCTGCTCTAATGGAACTTCATTTCCTTCATTTCCTACTTGTGTTTGTTCTTCTTTGAGGTTTTCTTCTTGCGGAATCAATCTTTCATCTTGTGGGTCAAGGTAGAAACTTGACAGCTCTGGAAGAATCTCTTTAACCTGAAATCCTTTCTCACTCACTTTCTTGTTTATAATTTCTTCTTCCAGAAATTCTACATCTCTTTCCTTAACTATTTTTAATGGACTGAGGGGCTATGATAACCGATAAGCATGTGGGAGAGATCAATTTTTCTCCTGTCCATATTTCTTCAAGCAGTTGGTTCTTCAGTTTCTTGTGAGGTGATCTGGTCAAAAGATATATGGCTGTTTGTCCTGCTTCAGGCCAGAATCTTTTGTTGCAGCTGGAATCATACAACATCTTGTTTTTTCCAAAATACTGCGATTAGCTCGTTTGGCAGTACCTTTTTATTGTGGATTATATGGCACAGAGAATTCCCTCTTAACTCTCTTTTGTTTTAACATGTCATTGAATAATTTGCCGCAAAATTCAGACTGGTGAGAAACTTTCTCCAGATAAATAATTTGCAAGCTGATCTTAAGGTGGGGATACACGAGTGCGCCACGGCTGCAACGCGGCAGTACAAGTGATGCGCGGAGTGATTTGGTGCACCTCGAACCATGTGAATGTGGCGCGCAAGCCGCGAGCACCTCAGTTCCATTCTGTCTTCGCCGTCAACACGACCATGGAAGACGAGGAAGCTTTGCTTGCCTGCAGTGGTGCTGCGGTAGTTATAGCATACATTTTTTCAAAAGCAGCAACGTAGACCTCGACGATGGTGGTGTAGGGAAGTGTATAAAAAATGGGCAGGTAATGACTTGATGAGAGCTCTCAAATGTCAAGAAATAAGCGACCAATATAAAAACTTCACTGGGATGAGTCCCACCAACTTTGAAGATTTATTGATGAAATTCGGACCAAAGATCAGGAAAAGGCCCACCAACATGCGAGAACCAATCTCAATTGATGATAGGCCTGTATTTACTCATTAGTACTGCTAACAAAGTGATTTTATCCAGTGAAGAATGTAATTGTGTAAGAAATAAAATTTAAACCACGGTATTCTTTGACAATCTGTGTATATCGATATTCCAGGTTAGCAGTGACTTTACGATTCTTGGCGACAGGGGATTCGTATTATGGAAGCCTTCATTACCTGTTTCAATTTTCAAAACAGGCTATCGGATAAATAATCCCAGAAGTTTGCGCAGCAATTATCGAACGCATTAAAGGAAAATATAGAGGTGAGTTAAATGAGACTATGTACATTTCTTGCTTCCTTAATGTGGACATTTATTTATCACAATACATATTTCCAAATATTGAGAGGATTACAGTGGAAAATTTGAAACACGATACCAAGAAAAATCATTTCATACTTTATACAGGTAACTAGATATACGTATTAAGATACATGATTTTGTTTCAGCTTCCCACAAAACCTCTGGAATGGATGCAAATATGCAAGGTATTTGAAGATGTTTGGAATTTGCCACACTGTGTAGGTGCCATGGACGGGAAACACGTCGTGCTGCAGTCTCCAAGAAAGTCCGGCAGTGAGTTCTTCAATTATAAAAAACACTTTAGTATTNGAAAAATATATAAGAAATCTGCAAGCAAAGAGACCGTGAGAACCGGTAAAAGCTTAAACACCACATATACACGGTGCCAAATCCCAGAAGACTGCTTTCTTCGAGTTAAATGTAGTTTGTAATTAAAATCAAAACTAAATGTAAAGAAAAACAATTAAATGTATTAAAATAAAACCTAAATATGTACAATAAAAAGCTTACCTTTTCCTGTTCCTATTAATTTTTTCTCGCGTGACTTCTCCCTTCTGTATGACGAGAGCAAACTGATGATTTTTCTTTTGCAATCGTCTTCCGGACACCCTACATTCATAGCGATGTCCCGCCAAGCGTCACTTTTTTTTTGTTCTTTTTATAATAATCCTTTTCTCCGGGATTCCACAGTACAGGGAATGATCTGTATGCCTCTATGAGCCCCAAAATATCTCCTTCTGACCACTCCATGTTTCAAGCGTGCGCGCTTCACGAGATTCACGAGACAAATGGCAACCGAACCCGACCACACTGCGGCAACGAATCCCTTTGTGTTCGTCAGAAAAACCGACAGGAACCGGATTGCAGTTGAGGGGTGCGCTGCGCGTGTTCAAAATCACGTATATCAAAATCAGTGTATTATGTGTTGTGGTTTGTAATTTCGTCACGTAACAAAAACAAGATCAGTGCAATTGCCTGTAAATTCAATAAACAAGGAACGAAATAGAAAATGAGAACTCACCTAATTTTTTCTTTAGATTGTCATCAGCTTCATCAAATATAGGGATGATACTGCTACAGATCTCTTCCCACGCTTTATTCCGCAGACCTCGGTTTTTGTAGTCTTCCTTCCTTTCCTGTGTTCCATAACATAGGTCTAAATTGCACTTCACTAATCAGCACCTCTGTATCAATTGCATCCATTCTCCAAGCTAGCACTTTGCAAGACTACAAGCTAAACTGAACTGAACTGAACCGAACCGCTTGCGTCAAGCGTGAACTATAAAAACTACCGTATGGTATTGTTCCCACCCGCGTGGCGGGACACGCTAGGCGGTGATTGCTGCACGCCTGTCCCGACCGGTCCCGACACACCTCAGTCGCATGCCAGGCGGCAGAAAGGGCAGAAAGTGACCGCTCGTCGCGAGCAGGTAAGTATAAAATGGTCCCATTTAAACAATGTTAATACACACGCCTGGCATGTGGCGTGTGGCATGCAAGTATAAAAGAAGCCTTAGGGAACACAGTAAAAAAATGTGGGATATGAACCTCTGCAGTGCAAGAGATCTGGTTGCAAAATTATTTATTGAAATTCTTGCGAAAAACGCCTTCCTCGTCGGGTTGGGGGGGGGGNGGCGAGGAGCACTCAAAAGGAGCTGGTATATTAGCTTACCATCATACTATGTAGCTATGTATCGTCTCAGCCGGTCTCAGCTATTTTTGCATTTAGTTAGTGAAGATGGCAGCAGAATTGCACCTTGGTGTCATGGCGGCCATGTTGCCCACCAATAAGAAGTAAGTTTCACGAGGCTCATACAAGCAGCCGGTCACGTGATCGAATGGATCGCATGTGATACAGTTTCCTTTGTTCATGACTTCATGACGTTCATGACGGTCAACGAATGACTTCAGCAACTTCACGCAGGTCTCGACCAATCAGAGAGCCTAAACAAACCAATTTGAATACCCATAATTACTTGCGGTTATCGTTGTACATAATATGGAAATTGGTAAGTATGAATGTTTATTTGATGTGGTTGCGAAACGAAAGTAGACATTTGCGAACGAAATTACAGCTCCATATTAAACATATTATTTGTGTATATGAATGTTATGCTTACTACCACAAATAGAATGAGAAACATAGAAATCTTTCAAGCCTAAAATTTTTTAGGTTATCACGAACTGTCATCTAAATGATATTTTTTTATGATATGTTGTGCAATTTTCGGTTTATCCCAGAGATTGTCTGTTGAATGTGAAGGAGTTCTAAGAGTACCGTGACGGTGTTATAATTTTTGTATTGCTTCTTGCAGCATAAAAATGACAAAAACTTGTGTTGCTGCTGCGTGTTTGTCATCCAGCAAGGAAGGCATAAGATTCTTCAGTTTTCCAAGGGATCCAGCACGGTATGTCTGTTTTAATTCATGGTGTAATCACTATGTGTTGCTTAATCCAATGTCTTGGAAAATACATGTAGAACAAACTATACCTAAATTAAGTGCAGCTTGCTATGCAATGAGATCGATTAAGCCCTTTATGCCACAGGAAACACTGAAGATGGTTTACCATGCCTACTTTCATTCTGTTATGAACTATGGATGAATATTTTGGGGGAACTCTTGACATAGTGTAAACATTTTTAAGATACAAAAGAATAATTAGCATCATTACAGGACGTAGAAGTAGAGATTCATGTAGAGATTTATTTAAGAAATTAAAAATTATACCTCTTCAATCACAATATATACTATCACTTCTCTTATTTGTTGTGTACAAAAAAAATAAATTTGAATTAAATTCCAATATCCATAACATGAATACTAGACAAAAATATAACTTCCATCTACCTTCATCAAACTTATCACTATATCAAAATGAGTCTACTTTTCTGGCATAAAAGTGTACAATAGTCTCCCACAAAGTATCAAAAACTTGAGTAATGGTATTAAACATTTTAAATCAGAGGTAAAGAAATATCTGCATGCTCATTC